GAGGGGGGAGGAGAAGGAGATGGAGGGAGGAGGGAGGGAGGAGGGAGGGAGGAGGGACTCACTCAAGTCAGCAGGAATTTCCTCGATCCGGTTGCAAGAGAAATCAATCTCCTGTAGCGCAGGCAGCAGCAGCACCTCCACAGGAATCTCCTTGAACCTGCTCCTCCCCTCACAGACTCCTCCACCTCCTCCATGCTCTACCTGTTTGCACAGCAGGACAGAAGCTTGAGAGATGTGAGGGAAGAAAGCTTCTCCGGCTATCGAGCAAGTAGTCAAAGACATCGCCTCTTTCTCCTCGCCCCTCCTCCCCATCCTCATCTGCCTCTCTCCCCTCCCTGCTTCCCATCCTCCTCTCCCACACCTCCTCCTCCTCCTTCCCCCCATTCTCACAATCGAGCACAGGTTGTTGTCGTCAAGGATCAGCATCTCCGTCTCCTCGCTCCACATGTCAACATCCTTTGCGTTCACTTCATCGGCCGCCTGCCCGTTCCTGCGGTCATCTGTCATCTGCAAGGACAGCCGCCTCCTCCTCCCTTGCTCTTGTCCTCTGCCTCTGTGATCATCCTCGTCCTCGTCCTCGTCCTCGTCCTCTGATTCACCTCTCAAGTGACATTAACCCGGACGGAGCGCCTCCTCTATAACGCAGGCGCATCTTCGCAGCCTGGGCAGGAGGGGCAGGAATGCTGTACCAGAGCTTGCTGCAAGCACCAGCATGAGAGAGAGAGAGAGCAGAGGAGGAGCCTTACATGTTGTTCCTCCTCCTCATCGCCTCGTACTTGCTCCGATCGCTGGCCTCCAGTAACGCATCCATCTCTTCCTCCACCTCATGCTGCGCAGCCGTCATGAAACTTCTCGTCTCCCCTCCTCTCACCTTGGACTTCCTTTCCCTCTCTTTCTCCATCGTTCTGCTCAAACGTTCTAGCAACGCTGTCTGATAGTCTGCTCAACTTGCATGTCAGCCTGACTTCGCTACCATCTCCTCATCACCTTCAGCCTTCATTGCTTCCTCCTCCAGCCTGTCGTTCTTCATGACCCTGGAGCGCACGAGAGGAATGCTGGCTTTCGCTTCCCCCTCGCAGATGGAGGAAGAGACAGGGAAGCTGTTGCGGCATGTGACGGGTTGTGTGAGATTTTTTTCTGGAGAATGGAATTGAAAGTTGGAATCGTCCTCCGAGAATCTGATTGGACGATACTTGCTCCGCCACAGCAACGACTGTTTGTTTGCTGTGAAGATGACCAGTTCCGTTGTATTTTCCTTGCCTTCCGCTCTTCTCCTGCTCTCACCCTTGTCTTCTTCATCTACTCGTCCTTCCGCTCTTCTCCTGCTCTCACCCTTGTCTTCTTCATCTACTCGTCTTTCCAACACTGCCTCCTCTTGCTGTTGTTCACTTTCGGAACGACTTTCAGGCTGCCCCTCATTCTCGTCCCCTTCCTCTCTGCCTGCATCTCCTGCTGCATCTCCTGCTTGCTCGACTGGCTCCACAGGCTCCACAGGCTCCACAGGCTCAGAGGCCTTAGGCTTGTCAAACGTGATCCTCCTCCTCTCCCTCGCCTTCTGGCGAGCAAGCTTTTCCTGTTCCCTTACACGGCGAGCGACTACCCGCAGCGCATCCTCCTCCAGCAGCGCGAACAGGCTTCGCTTCCCTTCCGTCTCTGCCATCCATCGATGCCTCTCCCCCTCAAGCACACCGCTGCCTCCGCTCTTCCTCCTCCCCCAGCTCCCTACTACACGTCCCTCCACGCTCTGTCCGTTGTGCCATACCAGTCAAATTTGACGCGCTAGCTAAGGAATCGCATGCCGGTCACTCAGTCCCCGGACACTCATTTCGAGTCAACTTAAGTTTTAGTTCGGGCCGCGCCTCCGTGACGGTGATCCTGCTTTGAGTAAATATCTGTCTGACCGTGACTCCTGACAGTGCCGGCGGCCGCAACCCGGGCCGGTGACCGGCGGCGGGCCGCCCGGCCAGACGCCCGGCCGGCCGGGCCGCGTCGGGCCGCCGCGCCGTCGGGTCCGAGTCCCGCCGCCGAGTCCGGCGCCGTGACCACGGTCACCGTTGAACGGTCACCGGGTTAATCGAATCAACCTCCACCTCACTGGCCAGAATCTATTTAATCCAAGATCCACCAAAGACTAAGGCCCGTTTCCCGCCGGCTCCCAGATTCCAGATTCCAGATTTTTTCATACAAATATAAGTCAATTTCCTTTTTTTCTCCTCCAAATGTTTTGGAGAACTCAACTATAAGTCATTTTAATTTGAGAATGAAACGATGCGGTTGACTTTCCCAGATTTTGCTTTTCGAATGGGCAGGCACTATATGGAAATATACTATTAGCTCAATCGAGAAAAATTGTTAGAATGTAGGGAGGGTACGCTTGGAGCATCAAATATGAACAGGCAGGGGACCCCACCCCCAATCAGTATGTATTGAAAGCACCGGTGAATATTTCGGGGTAAATTTCAAATCACTTTGAATAAAGTCAAAAATCTGGAATCTGGGAGCCGGCGGGAAACGGGCCTAACTCTCAGTACACCTGAGATCCTTACACCAACCTTATTCACCTCAACGATACACAGCTGTGCAGTCTCGAACACCTTTACTGATGATGATAGAACTCTCAGAAGAACCACACAACACTTCCTTTATTCACAGCAGCCACCTCCCCTTCAGACGGTCCCTTGCAACCAAGTACAATGCACAGCGCGCTGAGGACACGTCTCGCCGTCTCCAAGAACTTATCCGAGTTCTTACACCCTCCCTGACGAAGTTAAGCGAGATTCTCAGCTTATCTCAATCAGATGATCCTTCCATATCTTCCTGCTGCTGCATCATCCTCCTGCTCCTGCACATCCCCTGTGCTCCTCCACTGATCCAGGCTGCTCCTGTTGTGCAACCCTGTGCTTCTCCATGCACCTGCTGCTGCTGTGCATCCCCGTGCTCCTCCATGCTCGTGCCGCTCCCCTTGAACGCCCGGCGGCCCGGATCATTCCGGCCCCCGGCGTCCGCCGAACCCCCGGGCGGGCCCGGGTGACGCGGTGCCGGTGACGGCCGCACACTGAGTTTAACTGTGACTGTGTTGGACTGTGACGATGACCGCACTGTTCCGCCAAGGTGGTTCTTGTTGAGGAGTCGGAGAGTGGCCGCCGGGGTTCGGAAGTCACTCGGGCGATCGGGTGACTGATCAGCAGGCGGTCGAGGGGCCGCGCGTTTCAATGTACAAGACTAACTTAACTAGATGATATCATACTCCTCTCAGCCGTTGCCTGTAACACCACCTGGACCTCGCCATGAATGCCGCAGCGAGAACTGCAGATCTGCCATATCGGAGCGTCAGGAGGCACCAGCGAGGAGCTGAAGAAGCCTGGCATTCAACTAGCACAATCATGCACGCACAGCACAATCATGCACGCACAGCACAATCATGCACGCACAGCACAATCATGCTGTGCTTTACGCACAGCACAATCATGCACGCACAGCACAATCATGTACGCACAGCCTCCTCTATCACGATTGATTATGCATCATGCATCATCATCGCTATGATAGTCGTCTAAATCCTCATCACGATTGACGATCCGTTGCCCATCTCGCTCACCTGATATCTTGCGTCCGAGCTCATACGTGAGGTCAGGATCTGTGACCGTCGTCTGCAGTCTCGTTGTGAGGGGAGAAGAGCGATGATCCATCACACTCACAAACATGCTGGACAGAAATTGGTCGCCATCGCTCGTAATGCTGCCGTTCACTGCATGGCAACCATCAACACCGCCCCAAAGGAGGAGATGAATGTACCAACTGATATCACACTCTCGTCCTGAACCTGAGCAGGATAAAGACGTGGGAAGAGGCTCATCAGAAGACAACAGGATGGGGAAGGGGGAGGAAAGGAAGTTGAAGGAGGAGGAAGGACGCGACAGGAATGGAACGCATGCGCGTTTGGGAGGTGAACAACTTTTCACCTTGTATTCGCTGAGCACCTTAGAATCATCGCTGAGAGCATAGCATCCGCAGAACAGTTTTCCGTCTCGGACCCATGAGATGTCATTGTCGTTCCGGAATCCATCGAGCTCGAATCCATCGCCTTCAGCCTGATGCAGCTTCCTCTGCAACACAACGTTCGCCACTCCCAACCACTCCACTGGCGATTTACCTTCATGCACACAAAAATCTTTCTCCTCAGTTGCCCGACGGTTGTCTTGTGCAAGCAGACAGAAATCTGCAACACGAGCGCGGCAGTGATGACGAGCTTTCTTCTGATCATGAAAGGGAAACCTGAAGCTTCCTGCCACTCTTGGGGTCGTTGACAAAGACCACTTCCTCTCCTTGCCAAAGAGCTGAATAGAAAGCGATCAACAATTGTCCCACCTTCGTTCACGTAATCTTTCCAAACATCCTGTACGAACTTGTATCCACCCACTGCCACCAACATGAGATGAACATCAACCAAGTGCAAGATCAATCAACATTTTGACGTGTCTATATCAGCCTGAGATAGATGATCAGCCAGAGACTCAGAGATGGAGGATTTGTTACCTCATATTTCTGTTTCAACCATGACTTCGTCTCTTCTGTCAAGTCTGGTCGTAAAAGAGTAGCCTGTAACACAGCATAAGAACCATCAGTCTAGATTATATCTCATATCCCGCCATGCTGGCTTGCCCTATATGCTACTAACCCCATAGTATCCTGTTTCAACAACATTCGCGTACAGTCGCACCCATCCTCTCTTGTGATTCTTGTCCTCCTCTCCTCTCCTCTCCACTCCACTCCTCTCCGGATCATCTACAACTCCACCATCATTTGTCACCTTGAATCTTAGTACGCAAAAAACTTGTAACGATGCAGATTGAATTCCAAAATTTCGGAGCTCGCTCTTCCCTTCATGTCTCCCTTCTGTTCCACCAAGGATCGCATCCACATAAACTCCTCCATGGCATCATCTTCTCCCGCCCATGCTCGCTATCTAACGCCTCGTCCTCTTTCTATTGTGGCGCCTTTATATGTTTATGGGGGCGCCTCTCTACAGCTGAAAGAGCCCCTGTAACTGAGCCGGCTGATAATCGTACGGTACTCCCGGGGGCAGACGGTCTGGGCCGCAGTTTCCCCGAAGATCACGATCTTACTGGTATCACTAATTTCCGCTAGAATCCGATGGCACGAATATATTACACATTAAACTTATGGCGCGTCGACTCGATCGATTACGGGGTTTACTAGTACGGTCTGGGAGCCGGCATCAGTAGAGTAACTGGGATTGAACTGGCCGACAGGCAACTGTTCTGGACGGAGTGCCGCTTCAGCTTGCCTTGGAAAGTGCAAGTGGCATGCGCCACGCGAAGGAACCGGGTTGACTCTGGATCTTTTTCAACGAGATGGGCAAGGTGAGAGTGGAACCTGGAGGACTTATATGCGCGGCCGGCTTGGGAATTGCAAGTCGTTCTAATAAGCGCAGTGTCGAGTCTCAAGTGGGGAGAAGTATATACATTGTGTGGAATATCAATCATCGAGAGATCTCCGGAGAAAGGTAAGAGAGCTCATCCAGAGAGAGAGCAATTTCGGGAAAGGG